TCCCCCCCCCCCCCGCGTTAAATGTAATGTCTATAAATATTCCACCACTTTCTCTTTTCTTTATTTTTTGCTTCGAAGGTTTATCAGTAATTTGGAGACATTCTTTACTCCGTCGACAAACTGCGGGTAAAAAATAAAAAGAACATATATATGTTTCGAACACATACAAATGCTGCCCGGCCAATGTGTGTGTGGAGTGAGAAGATAAACAGGAATCAGGAACTTGACAAAGTCTCTGTCTCAAGCTAATCTTTTTTGTACAAATCGAACTTAAAGAATTAAGTTTGATCAACAAGTCACACAGCGATGTGCATAAAAACCGTGGCTTTATGTCTATATAAAATTTCTTTGAAAGTCCTACAGCTTCTGTGTGCTTCATAAAAGCGCTCAGACGGTCATCACAGGTGAAAAGCATTTTGGCAAGATGTGACACTCACATACTCGGAGAAACATGGTTAATGGCACACCTTACGAATTTGAGAATCTGTCACGATGGTACTATAGAGTATAACGAGTTAAAAAGTAAAAGTCTGGAGTAGTGATATATGGCATAACGTCCATACGAAATTTCTTTAATTTTTGTCCAATCATTCATTAGTTATGAAATGTGTATGTATATCTATCAGTTTAGAACACACAAGGTCAAGTTCAGTTTGCTAAATTCAGGGCAGGCTGTTTGTGATGTTTCTGTCTGGTCTGGTCACCCCGCTACGGTATCTGAGTCGACCGTACAGCCAGCAACTCGACGCCGAGTGTCGGGCTGCGGGAAATAACCCCAACGGCTTCGGGCGCAGGAGCCCCTTTGCGTGGGGTATGGTCCCCTCAGTGGAGGAAATGCCACTGAAATCCATCAAGTAGCGTCTGTTCTCCAGGTTAGGGGCGGCTGTAAAAGGCGTCTGCTCCCCATGTTAGGGGCGGCCTAAAACAAACCTTGAGGAAAGCAACGGGAAACTACCTCAGGATTTTCTTTCCCAAGAAAACCCATCATGGATTTACCCACAGTTAAATGTGGAACATGTCTAATGATGGGTCACCAACTTTCAACATTGAAAGCCAGACTGATGATGATGTTAGTGCTGTACAAGTGCAGAGGATCCTTATATTTTATCCCAATTCTGTTTAGTGTTTTATATATATTCAAAACTGGAGGAAGTGTGGTGACAAAGTGAAACTGTATCAACATTCCATACTGTAAATAAAGGTGAACAAAATATAAGTTACATGTACTATTTTAATATAGGCAATACCTGTACTATGTATATTTGCAATGCAGTAACATGCTGCAGACAAAACCACAAAAGAAAATGCTCTCCAGGTGTTTGTAATTTTCAGTCCAAGAAAATATTTTGTAAAACCCACTCATAATCTATTCTAGACCAGTCCCAAAATGGAGTAACACACACCTGGTGAATATTGCTGAATACAAACAAATACTTTAGCTACACTAAGGAACTGTAAGTCATTCCTTAATATTGGACAATATGATTTTGAGAGTATAATTATCATGATTCCTTCACTTTCTTGATACTGCAGATGTATACAGGCTCACCCTAGAAAAAATGAACAATGAAATTCTACTCAAAGTTGAAATAAATTATACAAGTGGCCTTCTTTTGGGAGTGCTTTGAAAGACATTAATTTGTCTGCATGTAACAGAATCTAAATTGCTGTACATGGCTGATCACTTTATCAAACCATCTGGTATGACATAGTATGATTCAATTCAAAAGCCTGTATGAATTTTTACATGGATCTCCCAACACTCTGAAAGATTAGGATAAAACTTTATACAAGAGTCTTCTGAGAGATTCTGATAAAATTATATATGGTATACAAGTAAAAAACACAAGTTGTTACATTTTTATTGCTACACTTCAAAGTCCCAGAAATGTAAAATGAATTAAATGCCAGAGCAGATGTTAGTGATCGCAAATTTCATAATATATATTTCTGGTGAAATTCTGACCTATATTTCATGTGCCATGTGTAGAAGGACCAAACACTTTTGCCATGAATTACAAATTCCTAACATGTTACAGTGGTATTTACTGTACCATTGCTGTTACTGTCATCATTAACATACTCAATTGTGGCAATTGTTTGAGAATTTGGAATACTAGTAACACGTCCTGCTTATCCTGAGCATGACTGCAATGAAGAAAAGCACATAACCAAATCAAGCAACAAGCTGTAAAAACAAATTATTTAATTTAAGGTGCAATAAAGACTGCATGTCATTAGCCACCCAATTCATGTTATGTCAGTCCTGAAGATGAAAGAAGGAGAAGCTTCTGAGACAATGGAATTTTATTCAAACATGTGGCTCATAGCTTAACATGTCAGTAAATTATATTGCCATGAAAGATTCCATTCCCAAAGTTTTTGCATTCCATACCTAAGAACATTTTTCTTTTAGTATGTTATACAGTTATATTTTTAAATAAAGGTACTTGTCAATCATCCTGTTTCACTTTCCTTATGATATTTAAGGAAAGGCATCTGGCAAGAAATAGTACATAGGTTGAGACGCTTCAGATTTTCTCCTAATAATTCATAAAAATTAAACAAACTGTCAATATCCCTATCAAAATATCAGTGTCATGGGATAACAAAACATCACAAAATACAGTATTACAAATAATATCACCCAGAAGCATGCCATGTATTCTCTACATAGTGACATATGTGGGGTCAGTTTCAACACCACAGTTGTTATCCTTTTGTGACATGAGGATGTAGCCATCATTTCCCCAGTAGTTTGACCATGAATTCTTCACCAACCAGTAGGGGCTGCCATTAATGGTTCCATACCCAACCAGTAGCACAGCATGATCTAACTGATCTGGTTTATTGCCTGTAAAGACATACACAACTTTATAACACCATAATTTAACATTTATTGATCATTATCCAAGTAGTTGTACCTGGTAAACTGTCAAGATAATGTTTTGTACCACTCTTTTGGGCACTGAAAACAGATGATTTATTTTTTAGGATACTGAAAGGCTTGTATACTACCCACCTGGAGGATTAGCTATTCAGTGTAGCAGGATGTAACAATTACCATGTATATATGTAGGACATTGTAATAAAATATATATTATGAACAGTGGTAATGCAAGGCACTTAAGCTGGTAACATACTCTTGCATTGGCAAACTGTAGTGCATGAGGATGTTGCAGATGCTACACTTAGGCACTAAGGAAGTGACAATAACATGGTTCTAGCTAAGAACAATCCCCAGCTTCACCAACTAATATCTTTCCTAAGGAAGCCAATGGTTCATCTCTCTGGCTCAGTACTCATGCCTTCGTACTGAGCTCACTAGCTCACCGGGGGTGCATTGCAAGAAAATTTTCAGGTTGTTAATAATAATAATTATTATTGACACTAACACTTACCACACTCTGGATCATAGTAAATGCCATTTGAATAGAAAGAAAATGTCTTGCGAGAAGCATCAATAGCTACAGAAATAGGACCATGCTTGAGCAATGCCACCTTCAGAGCATCAGCATCTCCCGATGTTACATTCACATAGCCTGTGATATTTGCAGTTAGCGTCACATTATCAATGTGACAATAACCATCCTGCAACATATGAACATAAGTTATCATTCTCTAAGAGGTCCATCTGCCTATCCATCACAGATTTTAAACGTGCTTCCAGATGGAATGGAACTGGAATTAAGATTGGAAAATAAATGTGCATATAGGTGGTCACTCAATGCAAGGGTGGTGTAAGTGTGTGTGTGTGTGTGTGTGTG